GCGCACGCCTTTAGTCCCAGCACTCAGGAGGCAGAGGCAGGCGGATCTCTGTGAGTTCAAGGCCAGCCTGGTCTACACAGTGAGTTCCAGGGCAGCTGGGGCTACAGGGAGACCCTGTCTCAAAAAGACCAAAAGAAACCCCAACCAACCAAACCAAAAAACCAAAAAACTGTGAAGTATATCAACAAAAATCTATGGACCAAAATAATACTTTAGCTAATATGGGACTAGATCTAACTTGTTAAGATTGCTTTTTTACTTTTGATCTGTTTTCACTTTTTTTTTTTTTGTTTCTTTGAGACAGGTTCTCATATTGCCTAGATTGACCTCAAACTCTGTGGCAGAGGATAGCCTTGAACTCCTGATTTTTCTGCCTCTATCTCCTGAATGCTGAGATTGCAGGAACACTGTGCTTGGCTTATTTTCCACAATTTTACTGTGGCAACAAGAATATTAAGAGCCGGGTATGATGGCACACGATTTTAATCCCAGCACTCAGGAGGCAGAGGGATCTCTGTGGGATCAAGGCCAGCCTGCTCTACACAGTGAGTTCCAGGCCAGCTGGAGCTACAGGAGACCCTGCCTCAAAAAGACCAAAACGGGGAGAAAAAAAGATATAAAAGAACATCAGACGGCACTGTGTGTGCAGAAGAGAGGGCTCTGGGACACCTGGGACTACACATGGCAGGACAGAAACATGGGAGTGGTGATCCTGTATTTAAAAACTTGCATCACCTCCTTCATTGCACTCTCGTTTGCTGTGCAAAAATCTGAGCCAAAGTAGCTTATAGTGTCACAGCCATGCAGCTTCCTACATCTGCCCACTTTTCTGAATTATTCGGAGAAGCATAATTATTTCCTTTTCTTCTGTCTGCTCTAGGCCTGTTTTCTTTGGTACTCTGGCATCTCTAGTGTTTCTCTAAAGGCCCTTCCCTGCCATGTGGCTGACCTCACTCAAACAGCATGACTTTTTTTCCTTCTTCTCCATTCTCCTGCAGGCTCAAGATTTACAGCTTGTCTGCCCTGGGATTTTTCTTTTGAACTCTAGTAAAATTTTTCTCAAACTTAAAAAGAAAATATCTGCATCAACTATTCATAAACTTGTTAGAAAAACAAAACAGCTTTTTTTTTTTTTTTAATTTAATTTTTTGGTCTTTTTGAGACAGGGTCTCCCTGTAGCCCACAGCTGGCCTGGATTCACTTTGGCGATCAGACTGGCCTTGAACTCAGAGATCCACCTGCCTCTGCCTCCCAAGTGCTGGGACTAAAGGTGTGCGCCACTATACCCAGCTCAAAACGGCTTTTAAAAAGTTCATATGACACTATAGTTTAGGACTATTTTCAAGATAAAAAATAATTTCAGGTAATTACACAGTTCCTTAGCCCCTGAAAGTTCTAATTTCTATATTCTTAGCTATCAGATTTTGGGGTAAAGAAGAGATAAAACCCAAAAGCAGATGATAAACAGCTAAGTGGTCAGAACCAGAAAAAAGAGCTCAACTAACACAAGTATAATCCCTTAGCTCTGCTGTGCTGCTGTAGTTACTAGAGCCAGTACTGCTTCAAATTAACTATTAGAAGCCTAAGGGCTTTTGTTTTTTGAGAGAGGGTCTATGCAGTCCAGGCACAGGCCTCAAATTTTTGATCCTCCTGCTTCAGCCTCCAGAGTAGCTGTGATTTAAGGGTTGTTTTGTTTCATTTTTTTTTTTAATTTAAATGTGTGTGTGTGCGCGCACGCGCGAGCAAGGTGTTGGATTCCCTGGAGTTGGAGTTATAGGAGGCTGTGAGTCACCTGACATGGGTGCTGGGAACCTGATTCAAAGGTACTTGAAAAGAACAGTAAGTGCTCTTAACTACAGTAGTTTTTCGTTGTTTTTGTTTTTTGAGATAGGGTCATGTTGTCCAGGCTGGCCTCAAACTTACTTGGTAGCTAGCTGATGATGACCTTGAACTCCTATCAACTTGCCTCTTCCTCCCAAGTGCTGTGATCTATATAGGCCTGTACCATCACACTTAATTCCTGGCTTTAAATTTTTAAGTGATGCAAAATTTTAGGGAAAGCAAGGGATGGTATCATACTTGGGATACTGAGGTAGGAGGATTACTTCAGTCATTATTAGCCTAGGTAACCAAAATAAAACCCCACCTAAAAAACAGTTTCGGGGGCTGGAGGGATGGCTCAGTAGTTAAGAGCACTGACTGCTCTTGCAGAGAACCAGAGTTCAATTCACAGCACCCACATGGTGGCTACAAACTGTCCTTAACTCCAGTTCCAGGGGAATCCGAAGCCCTCTTCTGACCTCTGCAGCACTGCACAACATATGGGTGCACTCACATATATGCAAGCAATAGACTCATACACATAAAATGAAAATAATAAAATATTAAACAAAAAACCAAAAAAGTTTCAGTGGGGTATCAGTGCTGAGGGTGTAGCTCAGTGCTATAATACTGCCTTGCATGTGAAATAAATTGAGGGAAAATTCTTCTGATACTATTTAAATAGATTTTGGGGGGATTTTATATCACAACGAATATTTTAGAATACACGAATACATTAGGAGACCAGACATATTGAAAAAAAGCCTGACCAAGACAATCTAGATCCTTCTCAAACAAAAGGTCTCTCGGGTATGATTTTTTTTTTTTTGTCTTTTTGAGACAGGGTCTCTCTGTAGCCCCAGCTGCCTTGGAACTTACTATGTAGACTAGGCTGGTCTTGATCTCACAGAGATCCGCCTGCCTCTGCCTCCCAAGTGCTGAGATTAAAGGCCTGTGCTACCACGCCCAGCCCCAGCTGTGAAATTCTTATAGCACAGGTAGTCTTCTGTTTTCTTTCTGGCTGTCAATCTCAGACAATTCTGTTAAGGTTTTCAAGGTTCACAAGAAAGATGGCTAACATGATGCTCGTGCTTTCCTATTTACCAGTCTCTACAAGGCAGCCTGAATACAACTGACCAGTTAAAGGACATATAAGCTGTTGTTTAGGTGGATACTAACTGCTATCAGGAGCTAAAGAGTGAGGTTCTAAAGGACAGCTGAAGCCTTACAGATGAGAACATGAAATTAGAGAGAGTTCTTTCAAATACACAGAACCCCAAACAAATTGATGATGGGCTTTTCTTAGTAAGTCTACTTCCTCTTCCAGTGCCCTTCAGATCAAGTTAGAACAGACAACACATACTTGAATTAAACATTTCTCTGCAAAATACTCACAGAAATAGAGAAAGCAATTCCTTTGACCTTCTCTTCCTCCCTTTTATTTTTTTTTAATGATTTGTTTTTATTTGTACAAGGGTTTGGAGTGTCCGTGTGTATATTGATATGTGTGTAGTGCCCACAAAGCCTGCAAGAGGGCAACAGCCACCATGTGGACGCTGGAAACTTAATCTTCGTTCTCTGGAAGAACAGCAAGTACTCTTAACCTGAGTCACCTCTCCAGACCCTCTTCTTCCCTTTTAAAAAATTTCATGAATTCAGCCAGGTGTGGTGGCGTACTCCTTTAGTCCTAGTACTTGCGGGGCGGAGGCAGGCAGATCTTTGTGAGTTCAAGGCCAGCCTAGTCTACATAGTGAGTTCAGGTCAGCTGGGGCTACAGGGGAGACCCTGTCTCAAAAAGACAAAAAAAAAAAAAAAAAAAAAAATCATGGATTCTTGCTGGTGTGGTAGCTCAGTCCTTTAATCCCATTGTTCAGGAGGCAAAGCCAGCAAGATCTCTGAGTTTGAGACCAATCTAGTCTACAACAAGCTCCAGGTCCAGCAGGGGTACATAGTGAGACCCCCGTTTTAAAGAAAAAATATTCATGGATTCTGATATTTAACATAATTTATCAGTTGTAGACTAGAATTTAGTTGAGGGGGTTGTTGTTGTTTTGAGACAGGGTCTCACTATGCAGCACTGGGCTCAAACTCACTGAGATCCGCTTGCATCTGCCCCTCCCCACCAATGGTGCTTAAGATTAAACATATGACCACCAAGCTCAGCCTTAGAACTCAGTATTTTCGCTGAGCATGGTGGTGCGGATAGGCAGATCTCTTGTGAGTTCAAGGCCAGCCTGGTCTATATAGTGAATTCCAGGCCAGTGGGGGCTACAGGAGACCCCCTGTCTCAAAAAGACCAAAAACAAACAAAACAAAAGAATTCAGTATTTTCAGGAACACTGAACTGTAGTGGAGTTTTTGCTGGGCATGTGCAAGGGCTCTGGATTCCATCTCCAATACTATCCTAAAACTACCTCCCCAATCCCCTAAAAAGAAGGAACTAGCATATTGTGAAATTTATCTTTCACTCAGTTTAATGTTCAGCTAGACACATCTCTTCTGTCTGGCGGCCCCAAAACTGTACATACCAATGGTCATCCCAGGCACAACCCATTTCAAAATTATGAAAAATAAGTCAGGCACACCTAAAATGCTGTTTTACCAATCTTTTACTTTAAACACCTTTTCTGCTCTCAATTTGGTACCCATGCTCTTGAGGGCAGATGCTACCCTCTGATACGGTGACCTACTGTAGCCAAAAAAGGAGGATCCAAAACCCAATTCCCAAGGGCAAGAAGTTCAAAAGGCTTGATGAATTTTACAAAAATATTTCATGTACATTAAAATAACAAATTATGGGGCTGGAGAGTTGGCTCAGCAGTTAAGAGCACTGACTGCTCTTGCAGAGGATCCAGGTTCAATTCCCAGCACCTACATGGCGGCTACGAACCATCCTTAACTCCAGTTCCAGGGGAATCCGAAGCCCTCTTCTGACCTTCGCGGCATTGCACGACATGGGTGCACTCACATACATGCAGGCAATACACTCGTACACATAAAATAAAATAAAATATTAAACAAACAAACAAATTATAACATGGGAAAAAAATAAAATTCTGAAAACAATGTACTAGGCTAGGTATCTGGATATATGATTAGTATCTACTGGGTCAACCTCACCTCACTGTTATCCATATTACAGGTAACTTTTGATCTGAAAAATAGACATGGCTGCTTACTCTAATTTGGTTCTTCAGTTGCTCGGCCTCCTGCCGCAGCTGGTCAAGCTCACTCATCTTTAGGTCTCAATGCTTTCCACACTCCTCAGAACCCACAATCTGAAACAGAAAACAGGTAAGTCATGGTAAAGAATGGTTAATGATAACTGATTGAGTAACTCATGAAGCAGGTAAAGAAAGGAAATTTAAGACTTCACAGATATGGTCTCATCATGAAGCAGAATCTTTCTGCCACATTCATAACTTTTAACTGCCTATCTAGGGCTACAATGATGATTATTCACTGACTTTGTATAGTAAGACAAAGTCTAATCCCATACTGCTGAAAATGTAGTAGATTGAAAAAGAAAAACTCTGCTCATCCCAGATGTGGGGCATGCCCTATAATTCCACTAATTAGGCTGAGGAAAGAGGATTTAAGTTCAAGGTTAACTTAGACTACAAAGAGAACCAATCTCAAAAAGTCATTTAAAACAAAGCACAGGCCTTTCTCATGAAAAGATCTTGAGTCCCCGCCAAGGAACAAAAGCCTGACTTCCAGAATAGTCACAGAAAAACCACGAACCATTACATCAGGAAACAGGACCGAGGCAATCTGGAAAATTGGGGTGCTAAAGCCATGGCAGTAGTTGTGAACCTTCAAGGACAGAGGGGTGTCCAGCAGTCCTTTATTTCCACCCAAACAAGTTCTGAGGTCTCAGCAGTCTCAGAAATATTTGACCCTTCTAGGTACCAGTTGAATCAGGCTGGCAAAAAAGCATGGCACCAATCCTGAGTCATATAAGACAGCATCCCTAAAGTCAGTGACAACTGAGATCATACTGCTATAAAACATGACTTCTGGCTGGGTTGGTGGCGCACGCCTTTGATCCCAGCACTTGGGAGGCAGAGGCAGACAGATCTCTGTGAGTTCCAGGCCAGCTGGGGCTACTCCCTGACCCTGTCTCAAAAACAAAAAAAAACAAAACAAAAAAGTGACTTCTTCAGCAGCTTAGTTGGTAGAGTGCTTGCCTAGCATGCAGGAAGCTGTGGGTTCCAGCTCCAACACCAAATAATGGGGTGTGACGGTCCATACCTTTAATCCCAGCACCTGGGAGATGGAGGCAGGAAGATCAGAGTTTAAGGTCATCTTTGGCTACACAGTGTGAGGCCATTCTGAGACATATGAGACTCAGTCTCAAAAGTAAATTAGGTAAACAAAAAAATATGACTTCCTGGGCTGGGATGTAGTTATTTGGAAGAATGCTTGTCTACCATGCAGAAGAACAGAAGTTCAAGATCATCCTCTACATGTGAGTTTTAGGCCAGTCTGGGCTACATGAGGAGAGAGAGAGGAGAGAGAGAGAGAGAGAGAGAGAGAGAGAGAGAGAAAGGAGAGAGAACTTGCATGCACATGGTGCATTTACATACATGTGTACAAAATACTCATACATGTAAAATAAAAACCAGTTTTTAAAAAAGAGACAGAGACTTCCCAAGAGGATGTTGTACATAGATACAGCTTGTTTCCTGGGTTTGTTGTTCGTTTGGGGCCTCATGAGCCCCTCACTATGCCTAGCTTGCAGGTCGCATTTCTGACATAAATGTTGACTGTTAAATCAAGTCATAACTGTGATCAAAGCACTATAAAACTAAAGGTGGAATTACTTAATAATATAAACATGAGGCTGGAGAAGACAGCTTGGCGGTTAAGAGCACTAGCTGCTCTTGCAGAGGACCCGAGTTCAATTCCCAGAACCCACACGGTGGCTAACCTAACCATCTTTAACCCCAGTTCCAGGGGAATCCAATACCCTCTTCTGAGCCCTGAAGACATTACATGACACAGGTTGAGTTACACACATGCAACAATACACTCAAATGCAAAAAATAAAAGTATTAAAAAGGGGGCTGGAGAGATGGCTCAGCGGTTAAGAGCACTGATTGCTCTCGTAGAGGACCCAGGTTCGAGTCCCAGCCCCATGGTGGCTACAAACTGTCCTTAGCTCCAGTTCTAGGGGACTCTGAAGCCCTCTTCTGACCTCCATGGCATTGCACCACATGGGTACACTCACATACATGCAGGTAATACACACATACACATAAAGTAAAAATATTTTTAAAAAATTAAAAAATATATAAAAATGTGATTTATGCAGGGATCTTAAATCCCCATACAAAGTATTCAGAGTAACAAGTTTAACATCAAAATTTCTGTGTTAAAAATAAGGAGGTCCTAGCCGGGCGTGGTTGCGCATGCCTTTAATCCCAGCACTTGGGAGGCAGAGGCAGGTGGATCTCTTTGAGTTCGAGGCCAGCCTGGTCCACTTAGTTCCAGGACAGCTGAGGCTACAGGGAGACCCTGTCTCAAAAAGACCAAAAATAAATAAAAATAAAAAATAAGGAGGTCCTAGAGGATAGAGGCAGGTGGACCCTTGGGCTTGCTGGCTGGCCAGCCAGGCTAGTTGGAATAGCAAGCTCTAGGTACAATGAGACCTTGTGTTAACAAATAAGCTAGAGAATGAGAGTAAGATGCAGTTAGCCTCTGGCTTCCACACATATATGTACAGGTAAGTGTATGTGTGCACACACAATAAAAATTTTAAAGCTGGGTGTGGTGGTGCATATTTTTTTGAAACAGGGTCTCTCTGTAGCCCCAGCTGGCCTGGAACTCACAGAAATCTGCCTGCCTCTGCCTCCCAGGTGCTGGCATCAAAGGCATGTGCCACCACGCCCAGCTGCATGTCTTTAATTCTAGTACTCAGGACGCAGAGGTAGGTGGAGCTCTGGGAGTTGGAGGTCAGCCTAGTCTATACAGTGAGACCCTGTCTCAAAAAAAAAAAAAAGCCAGATGTGGTGGCATGACTTTAATCTCAGCACTTGGGGATCAGAGGTAGGAAGACTACTGTGAACCTGAACCCCGCCTAGTCCTGAGGTTCCAGGTCACCTCAGGATAGATAGCAAAACCCTGTCTCGATTCTTCCCCAAAGTCAAAGTTAATAGATCAAATTAAGACTTGTTAGTTCATTAAGACTGAAACACAGCTTGGATAAATTATCTGGCTAACAATGAAATCTTTTTAAATATTTTATTACATTTATTTATTTTCTATGTGTGAGTATGTTGCCTGAATAAGTGTACCTGTAAACCACCAAATCTTATCTGTTGAAGTTCATATACTTTTTTATTCTGCAGAAAACATCTAAATAACATCACTGCACAATTCACATTATAGGTTCCTCACGTATATACTGATGACAACAAAATCCCCTCCAACTATATACCTTTGCTGTTCTCATAGGCTGGGCAGGAAAGAAGGGTGAGTTCTCAAAGTGCTTAGAGGCCTTGAGCAATATAGTCGGTCAAAGGCAAACTTGAGGAAAATGAGTTTGAAAGTAATCACCAGCACTGCGGGCTAAGAAAGGCCTAAAACGTACAGCTGTGTGTTGAAGGAGAGCCCCCCTCCCCCGCAAGTCCCAGACTAGTACCCTTGTTGCTGCTCTCTAGGAAGATGGGGTATGGTCTCCAAAAGATTTCTGTTGGGCATGGTGACACACACCTGTGGTCCCAGGGCACTTGGGAGGCAGCGACAGGCAAATCTCTCTGTGAGTTCCAGGCCAGCTGGGGCTACAGGGAAACTTTCAAAAAGACCAAAATAAAAAAAGTTTCTGGTGACAATGGTATTCTCTTTTTCTGTTTCCACCCCCATCCCTGCCCATCTTTCTTAAGACGAGAGTCTTACTGTGCAGCGCAGCATAGCCTGGAACTCAATTAGGAAGCCTAGTTGACCTCAAACTCAGCCTCCCAAGTGCTAGCATTACAGGAATGTGCCACTATGCCTAGCGGTTGTTTCTAAGCCCATTCCTTGTGGCTAGAGAGATGGCTCAGTAGTTAAAAGCACTGGCTGCTCTCAGAGGATCCAGGTTCAGTTCCCAGCGCCCACAAGCCGGCCGTTGGTAGACTGAATACCCTCTTTTATCACACACGACACAGGTATACTTATGCAGGCAAAGCACTCATACACATAAAATAAAAACAATTTTTACAAATGAATCAATCAATCCATTCCTTGAGTAGGTGGTTGCATTATTTGGGAAGCAGCGTATGCTTCCCTGGATATCTCTGGCATTAGAGAGGACAGCTTACTTTTTTTTTCTTTAAAGACCCAGCTGGCCAGGAACTCCCTATGTAGATCAGGCTGGCCTTTATCTCATAGAGCTCCACTTGGCTCTGCCTCCAAAGTGGGACTAGAGGTATGTGCGACCAGACCCAGTTATGAACAGCTTACTTTGATAGGAAAACACTGGCTGGTTCAGACTTGAGCACACAAAAATCTAAGGATTGAAGTTTAGAAATATTCCTCTGACAGAATGAAATGCCAAATGAATAAAAAATGGCATTTAGATGAAGACAGGTGAGCCAGCATGTCTTCCTTGCATACTTTTGCCTCATCTGTATCTTACACAGGGTTAAAGTATGACTCCTCCCACTGGTTTTGTAGTCAGGGTACCTACACTTCAGCATCCACTTGGCTATAAAGAAGCTTCTCAAGCCAGGCGTGGTACTGCACATCTTTAATCCCAGCACTCGGGAGGCAGAGTCAGGCAGATCTCTGTGAGTTCAAGGCCAGTCTGGTCCACATAGTGAGTTCCAGGACAGCTGGGGCTACAGGGAGACCCTGTCTCAAAAAGTCAATCAATCAATCAATCAATATTTTTTTTTAAAAAGCCGGATGTGGTGGCACATGCCTGTAGTCACTGCACTTGGGAGGCAGAGGCAGGTGGATCTCTGTGAGTTCAAGGCCAGCTTGGTCTACATAGTGAGTTCCAGGACAGCTGGGGCTACAGGGAGACCCTATCTCAAAAAGACCAAAAAAAAAAAAAGCTTCTCCATCCAATTTAGGATTGACATAAGCAAAGCAGCAGCCGAAGTTATGAGGCACCTGATTTAGTCTAATATTCAATAGGCAGCATCTGACCCTGACCCTAAACATGAAAGCAAAGCTGGTTGTTAAAGCATAGGTCTGAAAACAGACGGCTAGGCTCTAGTAAACAGAAGGAATTTTTCTCAGCTGCCTCAAAAGGTCTTCTGGCTTGTCCATCTTGATAGCTCATTAGCTA